ATCTGGGATAGTCTCCAGAGTGTTTGAGTGCATATTTCCACTGTCCAGCAGTGAGGTTCAGGTTTATCCTGCAGTACAGGGGTCTGGTCTGATTTAAGGAAATGAGGAAAGCACTAATTATGTAGAGCTATGAAAAAGTAATTGGTGGAAGAAATATGAGTTACTTCAGTAAAATACTTTCAGTAACTACTATTAGCACATTGAGGGAAAAATGCATGCATTTTAAAACCTTAAGTAAAAGTATTATCCTTCATACTGTAATGTACTTAAGGTATGAAGCGTAAAAGTAGCCTATGTATTCTGCAGAAACAACTATATATGATGGTCTTGCATTAGTATTACTGCTTCACTACAGTGTACTGTATGTTGCATTTTACTTCTGAATATGTTCAAGGTTGTTACATTTAAAATACTTTATATAGGCCTACTGTTGGGCAGTTTAATGAACAACAGTGCATGATATTGTAAAGGACCATGTTTTTGTATTGTAGCTGTCCTGAGAAAAAAATATCATTTGTATGTGAATACTTATGGAATGTATTTCGTTACACTCCACCACTTTGTTATTTTGGAGATGAAACAAATAAAGTTTATTGCTAAGTTGCTACAACTGCAAACCATATCAAGGCTGCTTTCGAAGCACTCGGACCGGTCTAGCCTACGGAGGACTCTTCTTGTTGCCTAGCAACTTTGTCAGCTGCAGTAGACGAGTGGCAGTAATGTTTGTAAGTTAACTTTTTATATTCAGCTGCATAAAACTAAACCGGGTTGAAAACCTGTTTAAATATGTTCACCATGGCCCATTTATGTACATAATAATCAATAATGGAATAAACAACAAATCACATTTTGGTAAGATGTAAGTCGACATTTAATCTCTTTATATTTTGTATTTTTTCACGTCATTACAATATTAAAGTAAGTCTTACATTTAAAGTGTAATTCGGTAATTAAAAGTCAAGAACTAACAATTCAGGTTCCAGTTATTTTCGTTTTCATTAACAAATAACATATATGGCAGCTCTCTTCTCGCACCGTTGCCACGCGACAGGCGCATTAATCGGGAACACCTGCTGGCGCAATCAGGAAATTCTGCGAAGGCTAGACTCGGAGCGTCCTCCGAAGGATGCGGTCTTTGAATTGGGACACAGCTATGGACTTCCTCTCTCTCACTGCCGAGTATTGTATAGCATTTATCACTCTCATAGCAATAGCTACTCTACGGAGCCTGTCTAGTTTTCATAGCCTTATCTTCGTTTTGCCTTGTCTGTTTTCTCGTATCCTGATCTTTGCCTGTGTTTCTCAGATTCCTTCTCTCGTCTTGCCCTATTCGGATACTGTTTGCCCCTGCCTGGACCTTTGCCTTGTACATGGATTTATCCCTCTAGTCTCGCCCTGTTGATTCTGTTCGCTGATCGTAGACCCACGCTAGCCCTAGGAATTTTCTTGTGTCTTGCCCTTATATACCTGTTGCCATTGTCTGACCCTTGCCTGTTTCTAACCATGTCTGTTAATAAAGCTTTGCACTTGGATCCGCACGTCTCGTCAGCCCCGTAACAGTATAATTAAGTCAGAAATGCAAAGCTCACGTACAGTATAAAACATAAGCAGCATGGCTAGTTAACATAAAGTAACTATGATAAATAATTCTAAAACAAGTATTAATCTTAGTTATTTTTTAAGTTCAACATCTACCTCACTATGTGGGAATATTTGCATAACGCCGCCCAAAAGTGCTGTGGATCACCGGATCAGCTTTCACCGTTTTCACTGCTCCTTCACCGGGACCGCCGTTCTCGACCCCGTCGCCTCAGCTCACTCTTGCCTGGCTTCAGCTCACGCTAAGCCGAGACTTTCGCTCATGCTAGGCCGCTGTGTTTTTCATTGTGAAAGCGAAAATACTTTGTTTGGTCTTCCAAAAGAGGACGATATCTGCTTTGTCATGCCTGGAGCTGATCTGTGCTGGTCGCTGAGGGAATACATCAACTTAGTGCTGTGGATCGCTGGCACATTTTATGGAGGACTGTTTACTGATCCTGGGAGAGTAACGTTAGACTAAAATGCCGGCAGTTCTGACTCATGTAAGTACGTTTTCTTTTATCATTTGCCACTGATGATTCAAACGCAAGTTTTGGGCAGTAGAGTAGCACTTGTTGTTTGTCATTTCTCTGATCACAAATGCAGACAGAGTTTTATGTTTACGATGCAATGCAACGCAACGCGTAAAAAGACAGTATAAGTCATTATAATTGGTAATTATGTCCCCACTGGATGCAACAAATGCCTCGTTTGTAATGGGTTTTAATGTTTTTGTGTCGTCGCTCCGGCTGGGACATGCCATCACAGTATGGTGAGGGGCGTAAAATTTCCGTCTCATGCTTAAGGTATTCGGCCAATCACAACGCACTGGACAGCTGGCCAATCACAGCACACCTCGCTTTTTCAGACCGATGAGTTTTGTAAAAATCGATGAGTTTCAAAAAGGCGGGGCATAGAGGAGAAACAATAATGTACAGTATATGGAAAATAATGTGTTTTTTTTTACTTTAAACCGCATAAACACATTTCATTACACCAAATACACCAAATAATGTTCTTTTTAGCAGCATCATATGACCCCTTTAAGGCACAGATCTATGGACTTGAGGGGAAAGTGGACACACACCTGAGGATAGCCATGTTCATCAGATATCTGGAACAGGTAAATGTTTTCTTTCAAAGATTTCTTCTTCAGCAACAAGGTGAAGACCAGGGTGAACTCCTCTGGAAGTCCATGAGGAAACACTTGACTGAGGAGACAAGCATGCGGTTAGACTGCAGTACACGTACAAACAAATAAATGTGGAGCAGCTGGTCGTAAGAGTAAAGAAACAGTCTGAATGCTAGCAGAAGGGGGAGTATCTCTGTATTAATGGTGCTGTGGATACAGATATAGGGATAACCCCCTGACACTCATTTTGAAAAGAATTGCAGCTCAGCAAACCTCATCTTCATTCTCAACTTCTATCTCTCACTAGATAAACAGTTTGCCTGCCTCTTGGTGGGTCAAGGGCAGGCAAACTCCAGGAATGTGTTTACCATCCCAAATACACACACGCACACACATACTGTAGACTCAGTACTGGAGTTTATTCACACACAAGTCATGGAACAACGGGAAGCTGATCATAAGCACATAAACATGCATAAATAACACGCACAACAATGAGCAGGTAGCGTGTTTGTCTCTAAACAAGATGACAATGATTTATAACAGAGATCTGGAATCCAAAGTAATAACAGTGAGGCTGGCCTCCTCAAGGAAAAAATTAAATCGGGACTAAACACGAGAGAGAGAGAGAGAGAGAGAGAGAGAGAGAGAGAGAAAGAAAGAGAGAATGAAACTTGCACTTTTGCACAGGATGAAACTTGTTATGACAGGAAATGAGTTGCATATCCCTTTTGAAGATTTCTTGTTGATATTGCTCAACAAAACTACTCCACTGAAAGGGCCATCATAAATCAAATATTAATGATTTTTTATTTCATTATTAGAGTTCAATTTAGCAGGTCTATTGAGAATAGAGGTGCATGATTGATATATTGGTGGCAAGTAACTAGGAAAGTTCAATTATTGTTATCAATGGAATTAATGGAATTACAGCCAATATGTTTAGCCAATATTTTATTGTGGCAGTTTTTTCACATGATTTTTTACAATATGTGTGACCTAAACTACCTCATGTGCATGGTGTACTGTAAATGCATTACACCATGCACTACACACTATAAAACTGCAGTGTTTTTAGCCAAATTTGTGTCACGTTGCTCTGTGATCATTATCTTGAGAATTACACTTTGTTGTGATATGTTTGGGCACATTTTAATTGGCATCATCTGCTAAAAGTGACAAAATCCCATTTTTTATTTTTGTTAATATTTCTTTAAAATAGCTATTTTAAAATATTATATATTTTTTAATAGCTTTAACTCTTTTGAAATGTATTGCGTTTAAACCAATGTCACTTTTAAATCAATGGACCAATCAGAATCTAAGAAATAAGCATTTTTTATACAGACAAGCCATGTGTTTATATTAGCAATAATGTATAGGAGCTAATACTCCACTACTGTCAAGTGGATTTTAATGGACAAACGGCTCTTCTTCTTTCTTTTTTTTTAAGAAATGTTATGCATCATGAGTTCCATAAAAATATCAAGCAGCACAATTTGTTTTCAACAATGATAAAAATAAGAAATGCTTATTGAAGCATATCATAATTATTTCTGAATGATAATTCAATCAAATACAATTATTTATAATTGTAAGAGCTGCTTAAAATTTTATTTAAATTTTAATAATATTTCACAATAATACTTTGTTGTATTTTAAATGAAATAAATATAGCCTAGGTGAGCACTACTTTCAAAAACATAAACAAATGGTACTCTATGTGAATAAATCTAATATGCTTGTTGTATTCTACTAGCTGAGACCTTTTTATTGATATATAATACATAACATGATTTGTGTTATATTCTTAGTAAATACTGTTATGATTATTATGATCCTATTTCAGACGTGTTGGTCATATCGCCTATATTAATTGTTATTAATAAAGTTTTTTTTTTAAATTGCTAAAGTTCAGAGCTTTTAAAATCGTTTATTTGGTGTCAAGCGGGCAGTTTTTAATTAATTAGCTAATTACTTAGAAAAACCACAAAGCTTCATTATCAGCATCAGCCACAAAAAGACGCTGATTATCAGTTATTCTTATCAGCCCCCAAAATTTGTTGTACTTCTTCTTGGACACAAATCCAAAGACCTGAGTAAACACACTCAAACCTATACACTCCATCTCTCTCCCAGGTGAGGTGAAATTTAAGATAAAGGAATGCAATGTTAGACAGTTCTATTACAAGCCAAGTCTAAGCTAAGAGAATGACTAACACAGAGGTGGCCGTACAATTTAAACACCATCTGCTGCTATCAAATATCAGAGACCAGCTGACAAGACTTTACATTGAACTTTATCTCAAAGACAATGTAGGAGACCATTTATAGAGGACATATACCCACCCCCCCCCCC